CTATAACTATGTAATCGACAAAACGAAAATAAATGTTTCCATTGATATAATGCCTAGTCCACTCCAATTCAAAAGCTTAAAAAAGCTCTCCAATGCGTTCGTAAACAGTTTTGGAGAAATCACGTCTCCTTGCGTCACGCCTTCCCGTAATTGAATTGGCTTCTCTCTTCTTAAAGTCGGACGCGCGTGATGGTGGTTTTATACAAACATTTCATTTATTATTTACAGTAATTTATTTACAGTCGATATGGCACCGCTGTAGAGACTTTAGCACCATCCAGGTTTCCATTGAACCGCAAGCTTTCTCATAGTCCTTACCCTTCTTGTCTTATACTACGAAAAAATCTATACTAATATTATAAAGCTGAACAGTTCATGTGTTTGTTTGAATGCGCTAATCTTTGGAACTACTGTTTCGATTTGAACAATTATTTTTTTGATTGTTAGTCCATTTATCTAGGAAGGCTAAAGGCAAAAACATTACGCTACTATCTGTAAGAGAAGAGCAGCGGGTAAAACCGCGCGAGAGCAGCTAGTCCTAAATAAATAAAATCATGAATTGTATAATATTATGTTTGATATCGCACCAAAAACCCAGGTACTCGGACTTAAAGTAAAGTCCACCAAATCCGGTAAACAAAATAGCTTTTTGAATTACCTATTCTTTAATTAATTAGAGCAGGTTTTAACTAAATTTAAGAGGGAAAATATATAAAATGTAAATGAATTGTTTTTGTTTCTGCTATTTTGGTAATAGATGGCCAGAACGAATATTATATTTATTTATTTTGTATATTGCCAGGTTTTTTTTGGAGCAAATCGGATTATTATTTGAAAGACATTTTAAAACGTTTTTTTATGGAGTAGGAGGCAAAACGAGCAGATGGATCACCTGATGGTAAGCGATCGGCGCCGTCCATGGACACCTGCAACACCAGAAGGGTCACAGGTGCGTTGCCGGCCTTTTAGAAAGGAGTACGTTCATTTCTTGAAGGTTTGAAGGTCGCATTCGTTCGAAAATTTCACCACTGGAAGATCATTCCAAAGTTTTACTGTGCGGGGCAGAAAGTTTCCTGTAAATCGCACAGTTGTTGACTGCCAACCAACACCTATCTGATAGGGATGGAAATGTTTTCTCGTAGAAATATGGCGAAAAGATGCGGGGGAGATCAAACTGAACAATGCTCCAGAACACTCACCGTGTATATGCGATAAAGAACACTTAGCAAGGCTACAAACCTACGCAGTGCCAAGGAGTCCTACCGGTCGGAGATAATAATGACAGCCAACGATTCGTAGAGCTCGTCGGTGAATGCAATTCAATATCTTTTTATTTATTTCAGACTAACGGTCACCCGCGGCTCTGCCCGCGTGGATGTCGATATTACCCTTTTTCAAGATTTTTTTTTTAACTTTCTCTACGTCCTTCTCTGGACTTACACAAATAATTAAAAAGACTAAAATTATCCAAAAAGGTAAGGCATTGTTGAGTTATAATATTACAACGGAAAGTTGCATTGATTTTTATATACCTATAGAGATGTAGATTACATAAATCTTACAAGATCCTGTCCAGTGGGTGAGAATCCGTGTAGTTAAAATTACTTTTTTATTATAATAATATAATTATAATATAAAATGATTATAAAAAGTTTTGTGAGAAATTAGGAATTATACCGGAGCACTAACAGCTGGGGTGTGATTCTGTAAGACTTCATTCTAAACTTCGAATCTGAATCCGCGGTGAGTTTCTTGATTGGCATTCTAAAACTCGATTCCTAACTCGAATCTATGCTAGCGCTACACTTGCGAGTGTGTTTACGAGTTGAACTAAATTGACCGCAACATTTTGACAGATAAAGTATGAGATAACGTTGAAAATCGTATTCTATAATGTAATTTCCCCGTCACTTCGACGCTCACTTCAAACTAGAACAAGATTCAAAATGTCAAATTAAAAGTATCTATTTTACGAGTGAAAATGGAAGAAATAATAGTTAGATAGTGTTCAAATTAAGTTTTGAAAGTAACAAAGTGAATAAGTGCTTACCTATTAAAACGATAACAATGGCAAGAATGATTTTGGTAAAATCTTTGTTAGAAGAAGCTCATGCTTTAGATAAACAAGAAATGCGTCGACAATCTAGCACCATTCGAAGTTTGTCTTTATTAACCTGAGATGACGACTATGTGAGCGTGTATCTGCAATGGAGCTGATTGACCAACTCGAGTATGAGTTACTCCCTTTGATAAAACCCACAAAACGGCGAGGCAAAGGGCTTTGAACTTTCAAATATATATACCTATATAATAATATAATAGTATAGTTCACAACATATATTACCATGTTATACCCCTACTTCAGAATATATAAGTCTAATTACTAGGTTTAATTTATATGTGATTGGTCGGCAAACAAGCAAACGGATTACCTGATGGAAAAGATTCAGCGCCGCCAATGGATAACCGCAACAACAGAGGGGTTACGAGTGCGTTGCCGACCTTTTGGGGATTATGGATTTGGAGATTTTGACACACATTCACACGGTGAAACACAACGCTGTGGTTGTTTCACGCCAGTTTTCTGTAAGGCCGTGGTATCTCTCCAGTGGACCGAGCCATTCGTGCCGAAACATGGCTTTCGCACACTTAAAATGGTATAAGTACTAGATAGTCATTAGATTTTTTTTCAGGTGATTCAGGATTTGCTCGACGTACGACGACCTTATGACACCATTAGTGGTGTTGAAGACAATTCCCCAGAAGCATTTTAAAATAACATACATATTACTGCTCGCAATTCAGAAGAGAGGACAATTAGAGACGAAATTATGTACAATTGCTGAAGTTCAAAGGAGGCAAACTAGGAATTTGTCATCTAATACAGGTTTAAATCTAGGACGTAGGCAAAATATAGTGCCTCAAAGAGCCAATAGACTACCACAGACGGAGCCCTACAGGTCTGATTTTCAGCCACGGTGGAGGGGCAAGCGCAATGAAGTGCCACGGTCACGGCCTAAAGCAGGAGAAGGAACGGTGGTTTAGTCAGTAAGAGTCTGACACTATCTCGCCTTACCCTGGGCGGGCCTAAAGCAGGAGAAGTCATGATGATTTTCCCCTGACAAAAAAATATGATTATGATTTTATTTTATTTTGATTTTAAGTCAATTAGGGTTTTGTATGATTTTACTTTTTCCATTTATTACAATTTTTACTTTTAATTTAGCCTTACGAGCCTAATTGTTAGGCCCTAGTTGATTTATTGTAACCCATAATTGTTTGAATGTACAATTGAGTTAAAGTCAAATAAATAAATAGTCAGTGATATGTAAGAATGGGTCTTTAACTAATAAAACTGCTAGTACTCGTTAAAATTCTTTAATTTAAATATAATAAAAAAGTTGGTTGAAACCTTCTTAAAAACTAAAACACAACTTCGTTTTTACACCCTATCTTGATGCCATGGCCTCTGCCAATGCTCATAATCCATTCCCGATTGAAACTACAGATCCAGCTAAAATTTAATCATTCCCTAGACTTCTCTTCAGAAATGCTTGCAAGATCTGTGCATTTGATTTTTGTAAATTCTTCCAATTGATTTGAAATCGTCTACTCTTCCACACACAGGAATCTCTCTGTGATGTTGAAGAATTCTATTCGCCGTTGTGATGTTGTGTGACGGGATGCTGAAAAGAGAACACCGATTACTATGTGCGTTGATAAAATCTCTTTAACAAATTGCAGCTTTTCGCTGTCGTTTGTTCCAAAAATTAAGTTCTTTCTTCAACCTCTGATAGCTCAACTTCATCTTCCACCACACCAGTCCTGTCCTGCGCCTAGCTGCTGAGCTTCTTATGGCGCTTTTTTCTCAGACCAATACTACAAGCAGACATTTATATTAATAAAGAAGTTATTAAAAAAAGCCTTACTTTTATTAATAGTCAATGTAAAATTAAAATAAGATAAGTTATATAACCAAGGAGCACGCCAAGATTCATCGCTATTTTAAGTGGCTTGCATTAACGAATATTAAATGGTTTTAACATGCCAAAGTAAGCACTACTTACTTTACCTTGGTCCTCTGTTTATAAGTTTTGAAAGTGCCACCTATACTATTCAGGCACACGGCTAGTTCCTTCCACTAGCGTCGCTTTCGCTCTCTGGCACCTTGAGTTCTCAAGAAACCCTTCGCCAGCCAGGTTGCAACCTGAGATGACGACGGGTGTGAGGAACGTATCTCATTTGGACTGAAACATTATTGTTTGATTAGAAAACAAAATAAACACTCTTTAATAAATATTATTTTTGAACTTTACAACCAGTAATAAAACTTACTTCATGATTATTATGATGTCTCTTTTTATCGGCAAGCACGAAACAGAAAAAATATACGAATAAACCAAACGTGGACAAAATAATACAAAGCAAATGACAAAGAGTTTGTCAACAACGAATGAAGACATTAACTGTCAGTTTCTTTTTGGTAAACGTAGCACAGATTATATTCATCGCCTGAATTTACAGTTTTCTGTTTATTTTGTAATAATTAGCTGCCTTAAATTCCTTAAAATAAGAAATTTCAATTTATACGTCATAATATCTAAAATTCTGTGTCAAAAACTTGTTAAAATAAAAACCGATAAATCTCGACTTACATTATGTGGAGTATGGTACCACCAGTTCTCTTCACTTCACTTCGCAAGTGCCTAGGTGATGCTTACAGAATGCAAAATCAACGCCATTTTGAACCTTATGCGAAGTGAGAGAGAATATCGACTTGACATGCGAGTTTGTGTTAGAATTTTATAGAATCGACGTGCTGACCTTAATAAATATATTTGGAGGATGCGTTTTTTGTGTGGTGTAGGCATCCGAAAAAAAGTATCTTTTACTTTTATTTAAATAAAATACATAAATTGGCGTTTAAAAATTTATTTCAAAATATTATTATTGACATTAGTTCACATATAATTAATCACTGGAACAAATTGAGATACTATCTAACTCGCAGGTGCGGGCTCGGGAACCTCCGGAACCTCAGGGGCGACTGGTAAATGGTCACCCTCTGCGTGGTACCCGTCCAGTCCAGCTGTGTACTTTGTGACGTATCTCTTGCCGTCGTCGCCAATGTATGACACTTCCCCTTCATACACCATGACATAGTCGGCGCCATCTGGTGCGGGAACCAGGCGACCGCGCTCTGACACAACGGTACCCTCGGCTGTCACATACCGCAAGGCAAACTGACCAAACTCGTCGTGGACCTCCTCGTGATCCAAGGGAGGAAGGAACCGGTTGGAGTGTTCTTCCAGAGGCGCAGCCAAAACTGATGCCAAAAGGCAAATGACGACAGAAAGCACCAACTGTAAAAAATCGAAATAATTTATGATATTATTTTCTTTCACAATGTTGAAGAATGCCAATATTTTTTACACTAAATTTTATATAGTTTTATTATAATCAAATTTTAAATCTTACCTTGTTCATTGTGAATTATTAATTAAACTTTTACGTGTTGTAGTTTACTTGGTAGAGTCAACTGAAATTGTGATGATGGCATTCAACAAATACGCCTATATACTAGACCTTTACGCAATTAGGATACAAAAACTAGATTTATTACAACATGTCATAATGTTAATATAATGAAATTTAATTATTCTAGTACCATTAGGTTCCCTAATGTTGCTATTACCAAAACTACACTTAAACTAATTATGCACCAAGTAGCGCCTTAAAGAGTTCTAGATGGCATTAAATGCAGACACTATATTTTGGATAATTATCTGCTAAGTATACATTAGTTTTACTAACTAAACTAAGAAGGCAAAATCTACTTCTCCATCCTGGATACGGCGAGAGGGAATGTCAGACTGGATTGCTACAATTGTTTAAATGTAGAATGTAATTAGCACAAACTATTGCCACGGAAATTTGGACCTTATACGAAGGTTGTAGAAAAGGTATTCATCATATATATATTATTACCTGATTCCGTAGCCGAACGAGACCTCCCCCTCAATCGGTTCATCTTAATGAAATCCGTACACATAACAACAAATAAACAAACAAATTCGTTAGATACAATTCCCGTAAATTTCCATCACAAGCCTGTTATTAGAGTTAATAATACAATTCCTTAATTAAGTGTAACCTTCAGTAAATATGAAAGCCAGGGGTGGCAAACCATTCAGCTGGGGTGTTGGGTTCAAGTGTAATAATAAACCATGTTATATATCGCGGTCCCGGCTCGGAATAGCATAAGGCACGGTGAAGATTTTAGTCAGTTTGAGTCTGAAACTCTCTCTTGCAAGAAAAGGGAGGGTGAACTACGAGTATGACGCACTTAACACAATATTTTGGGCATGTCATCATCATCATCATCATAAGCCGGAACATGTCCAATGTTGGACAATTGGCTTTGGTCTTCCTAGTCGAACCATAACTCACCACTTGCAGCAATTGAGTGTGCACGTGACGCTGACGATGTCCCCGTTTGGTCTTCCGTTTGACACTTGAACACTTCTCTGGCCCAACAGATGATCATCACGATAATCACAAAATTTATCATCAATAACGCATTTGTGATGTCTTTGGTGTTAACTTGGGATGCGGTAAAACTAACCATTAGGGTTATGTAACCTTTTTTTTGTTTTGTAATTACGTAGTTCAATTAAACTACATTTTAAAATCTACTTCAAAACCAATAAAAAGTATTTTTCTGGAAACTGCAGAAAAATCTGTTTACCAACTAACAAACATACTTAAATGTGAAACTGGGAACCTTCTCCTTTTTCGAAGCCTATTAAAAAGTCATCGTTTCTATCTTTTTTAAAAAACTTTGACCCACTCTAGGATTTTCTCCTGTGTAGATTACAAACATACAATTTCACATACACATTACACCCACACCCGGAACAACAATTTGTGGATCATACAAAATGTTGTTCCGTGCGGGAATTGAACATGCGATACGTTTCATAGTAGCCAGTAACACTTGAAAACGCACCAATCCTGCAGAAAGAAAGTCAAAATTATATTATTATTTTTTTATTTTATGTAATCGGTCGGCAAACGAGCAGCCGGATTACCTGATGGTAAGCAATCAGCGCCGCCCATGGACACCCGCAACGGAGGAGTTACGAGTGCGTTGCCGACCTTTATTTCGAGATTTAGGGATTGAGTAGGGATTGGGGGAGGGGAAAGATTGGGCCTCCGGTAACTTAACTAACACGGCGAAACACAACGCTGTTTTTGTTTCACGCCGGTTTTCTGTGAGGTCGTGGTATGACTCCGGTCGAGCTGACCCATTCGTGCCGAAGCATGGCTCTCATGGCTGGTACATTTACTTTGACTTACAAAATGGCACATAATATACATGTAAAGGTTCACCATCCCTGATGTAGGCAAACAGTATTGTTTATGATAACGCCCACACGGCGTGTAAACAGATTAGGTAATTAAGTAAAGAAACTAAACAACAGAATCTCGTTACAGCCTCAGGCCAAAAACTGGCAAACATGGTAACTTTTCCAAACCATATGGTTTGTGTTATGATGTTCGTGTATTATTTTTTCTGAAGACTTTCCATTAACCAACTTGACATTGATTTGACCTCAAACAGGCAGACGGTTTACCTGGTGTTAAGAAGTCGGCGCAACTTATTGACTCTTGGAAGACTAGAGGAGGTTATGAGAGCGTTGCCGGTCTTTTGGGGTTTGGAGTTAAAAACAACTGATATTCTTTATTTGCATGTTAAAGTAATATAGGTACAAGGGTCTTAAATGAAAATAACAGTCACAGTTTAACGGCCCTTTCAGGTTTCGAAGATTTAGGAATTTGAGGAGGGGAAAAATATTGGAACTAGTGTAGTAGTAGATATTCATTAAAAGGGTTGATCTCTATTTTGCACATGGTTGTCGTGGTGGCCCGAAAGTTAAGGCTCCTCTTTTCATGCATGAGACTTATTATGCACTATCTAACTTTGGATTATTCGTATTATCTGATGTTAAGCAATATGGTAGTTTCCAACTAGTCAAATTCAATACTTTTATCCAAATTTTAAAAACGATACTCTTCTATGAAATTTGTATGAAGAAGGGTTATGACGTCATAGATTTTTTGGCGTCAAATAAGCTACTTATTCCTAAAAAAATTAGCTATAAAATATCTAAAATTCAGTGTATCGATCGATTGGTGAATAAAAATATAGTTATTTTTCAACACTTTATTGTATTGAAACGACGAATGCATTGGCGTCACCCATGGACGCTCGTAATATCAAAGGAGTTACCGGTATTTGTTACCGCTACCGTTACCTCTTGTAGGTTATAAGGATTCAAGGATAGGAAATTTGAGGATTGAGGATAGGGGAGGGACAGGATTAGGCCTTCGGTAATCTCACTCGCACGGTAAAACACAAAGTATTCGTCACGCCGGTTTCCTGTGAGGCCTCGGTACGTGGTACTATCCCATATTAAGAATTGTGAAGGTCCATCACAATTTTTTTTAACTTTCGAATTATAAGTAGCGAAATCGCCAATACGCTTTGAGCAAGCGTGGTAGTTTTTAACCTTCTCAATCTGAGAAGGGGCACTTAGATGCTAATGATGATAATAATTGTTCACTATTACTTATTGTTCTTTTGTGACAATTAAATAGTGATTAAATGATGTGACGAAAATACAGAATAATATGTATGAGATTTACAAAGATATAAAAATAATACAATTTCAAAAACCACTCCCAAATTCAAGATCAAAAAACTTAAATCTCAAATGAATATCTCTAAATTTTGCTGCCTCGCCTGTAGAAGGTCAATAAGAGGGCGAGAGACCCTCAACAGTTTTGTAACGAGCCCTCCGAGAGGAAGAGGCTCTCTAAAAATTTCAAAAACAAAATAATGAATGTCCCTTTGTACGTAAGTGGAGGCGGATGGTGGTTACATAGCGATGTACGAGTTTGTACAAACTTATTTGACGAAAATAATGAAATTGTTTTTTTTTTATGGGACAGTTCGGCAATCGAGCTGTCGGATTACCTGATAGTTACGCAATAAGCGCTGTCCCTGGACATCCGCAACACCAAAGGAGATACGTGTGAGTTGCCGGCCTTTTGGTGATAAGGGTTTTTCGGGTGATTAACGATTGTGAAGGGATGGGGAGAGAGAGAGAGGTTGGGCCTCCGGGAACTCCCCTCACATGGCAATAAAAAACACACAAATAAATGATTGTTTCACGACGGTTTTTAGCGTGGTGGTGGCCGTGATATCACTCCCTGAAGAATTTTATCTAGTCAAAAAACAGTTATGCAACGAGTAAGTTTTTTATGAGATTTATTAAGTCTCTCTAAGTTGCTAACACATTTCTTTGCAATGAATGGGGCCGAAGCATTTAAAAAATAAATACAGATTACTCGCATAACCGTTTAATGTGCTAAGGCGACTAATTTTATTGATAATAACGGCTTATTTACGTGAGTTAATTGAGAAAAGTTCTACTACTTAGTTTCAAATCACAACGGGACTGTTATTCATGAGTAGCGTGTGACAGATTATTGTATATTTTTTTATTTAACTATCTCTGTAAACAAACTTTAAGAAATATTCAATGTTAACTGTCTCTGAAAACGCACATGAAAACGAGGTTACCATTGTTATTGTTTAATGTTTATTAAATTTAATATATAAAAGCTTACATGTTTAATAATTAAAATAAATATTAAAATTATCGCTATAAGTTTTAAATAAGATTTGTTTTGTTTAAATTGGTTGATTTCAATTGTGATATTAGTTATTTGTCTAGAAAGTTTGCTTGTCTCTGTTTGGTCAATTTTGGCGGGAAAGTATGACTTTTTGGAATAATGTTGTAAAATAAAGGATGACACTTTTTGGCGGGTTGGCGTTGAGCTCAGTTAAGTGAATTCTCTCTTTTTATGTAACGTAAAACGGGGTGAATAGAATTCGAGGGGTAAATAGACACGGAATAGGGGTGAATAGATACAAGGAAAATTCGCCAACATCTATTCACCCCTATTCCGTGTCTATTTACCCCTCGAATTCTATTCACCCCGTTTTACCGTAATTGTTCTTTGTATATTGCTATTGAATATGATTAAAATAATAGAAAATGTCTAATATTTTTATTATTTATTTACTTTTTGTTTATTTCTTTACTTATTCATGAGATTTCAATAATAAAATTATAAATTCAACTGATCTTTTATATACCAAATCTAACATCAGAAGTGGGATGCCCTGCCTCAATAATTTTTTTTTTAACATTTTATTATTTTTGCCATGTTTCAGGATGGATACTGAGACAATCGGTGACTTGCTCAAGGCGATGCGCGATGCGATCTCCAAGACCACCCAAATTGATGATGATGTGGCGCTCCCAGTCTTCGATCCGGAAAAATGCGACAACGGTGCTACCAGGTGGTGCAACAACATTGAAACGCTTGCCAAGGATCTCAACTGGAGTAGCATCAAAACAGCGGCTAAGGCAGGTAAGGCCCTTAAAGGGTCTGCTTTGACTTGGTTTGAGTCCTGGGATCCCTTAGAAGGTAGATCTTGGGGAAAGTTTCGTGCTGATATTGTTTACCTCTGATACGGCTGATTCTTATGGTGAATATGCTCGAGAAAAACTCAGGTTACTTCGTAACACTACAGTAGCTTTTACGGAAGAACAATTAATTGAATTGGTTTGTGGTGGTGTTAGTGACGTCAATGTTAGGATGGCTTCACTGAACGCTAACGTTGCGTCTACTTCACGGTTAATTTCTCTTTTGTCATCTTATTCAAAAAATAAACAGTCTCTAGAAAGTAACTGTAGAGACAGTAGATCAGGACCCAGTGAGGCTAAAAATGAAAACGAAAAGATATGTTTTATATGTAATGAAACCGGACATTTTCAATCACAATGTGTAAAATATAAAGTCACTCAGTTGCCTCCAAGTATTACAGAGGCTCCACGTTTGTAAACCAAATGATAATGAGTCTGATTAAGTGAATTCTCTCTTTTTATGTAATTGTTCTTTGTATATTGCTATTGAATATGATTAAAATAATAGAAAATGTCTAATATTTTTATTATTTATTTACTTTTTGTTTATTTCTTTACTTATTCAAGAGATTTCAATAATAAAATTATAAATTAAATTGATCTTTTATATACCAAATCTAACACGTGCATCGTTATTTTCATTAACTTTAGTACATATGTGTCACGATACTTGACGACTTATTTGAAATAACGCCTAGGATCTACAAATTACGAGGAGCATGCATCGCACAGACATAACTGTGTAAGTACGTAAACTAATTACTAATCATAATCTAAGTTGTCGGTTAAAAAACCTATTTTTGTGGAATAAAAGGCAAACGAGCAAGTGGATCACCTGATGGTAAGCGATCAGCGCCGCCCAGGGACACCTGCAGCACCAGAAGGGTCACAGGCGCGTTGCCGGTCTTTTAAGAAGCGGTAGGCTCGCCATTTTAAGCACCTATGTTGTGTATAATATGTTTTAAGTGTGGGAGAGCCATGCTTCGGCACGAATGGGTCGGCTCGACCAGAGTGATACCACGGCCTCACAGAAAACCGGCGTAAAACAAGCACAGCGTTGTGTTTCGCCGTGTGGGTGAGGTTACCGGAGGCCCAATCTTTCCCCACCCTTGTCCATGGGCGGCGCTGATTACTTACCATCAGGTAATCCGTCTGCTCATTTGCCGATCTATTAAATAAAAAAAAAAATAGAGCGCAACGATGTACCGCAGGCTAGCTTAAAGCAGGAGAAGGGATGGTTTTTATTCAGTAAGAGTCTGACTCTCACTCCATCCAGGGCGAGGGAAAACATTTAAGGTTTATCCCGCTCGAACAAAAATAAAGCTTAACCTTCTATCTTACAGTGGCTTTTACAACCACAAGACCTTTATTTGTGTGGCAGTATTTTACAATAACCACTACAATTACTATGTTAGAGTCCACTCAGCCATTTTCGTTTGTATCTGAAAATGGGACCCTTCGTTCCCATATACGTAAGTAACACCAAAATGTATTTATATTTATTTATATTATCCAAGAAAATGGGAAAACATGTCAATGTTTTTCGTCGCCTTAACAACTACTGTTATGCGTTTTATACAAATTGTACACTGCAAATGAAACTATACACGAATTCCTTTTCAAAGATTTTCAGTCTTAAACTCCAAAGATAAGGTTGAAACTTCATTACAGGAACTAGAAGTGTAGAATACGATGACAAGCTTCTGTCTACACAAATAAAATAAAACATCATTAGGTAACTTTCTGTGTTTTTCGGGTGAATACCCTCTAGGGATGGACCTCTTATCCTCCTGTTGCCCTCTTAGTGAGGTATAATTACTCAAGCTACTTTATGTTGAAATATTACGTTTTTGTGTTAAAACGTTGAGGACTGAAGAAAATTATGGTTGCACAGTGAAATGTTTAATAATTTTGAACAAAAAATGGCTAGGTAGTCTTTTAGAATGTTTTACTCGAAATTTTCAGGCAGGTTTAAAAAAAGAATTGGCCGCTTGAACGTTTAGTGAAATATATTTTAAAACAAACGATACTTTCGCTATCCACCAACACAGAATAACAATACGGTTCTCTGTTTCTCATCAAATAAAAAATACTTTGTGCGAAAATGAATCTTCATATACCCGTTGAAGATTCATTTTCGCACCAAAACACTGACACGTCGACTAAAAAATCTAGCAGCCTGCTCTTGCTTCGCACGGGTTACAATTACTTCGCTAACGACGAAAGGGTTGCTTTTTCTCTATTTTCCTAAAATCATCACAAGAACCTTCTTTTGACAATTGGCAATTACAAACACAACAAAAAGAGAATTAATAAAATTGGTCCAGGTGTCGTTCAGTTACACGCTGACTAACACATTTCGCAATTCATTTTTATATATTAAAATAAAACCGGGGCTAACACTAGGATTTTCTCCTGTGTCGTGGGTGCGAACGCAAATATACAATTTCACATACAGATTATTTGTTTCTTCCTTTCCAATTGATATCGCTAATAAATTGTAGGGTTGCCAGTTGCCACAAAGTTGCCGTTAACTGTGCGACCAAAATATAATATAGAGATTATACAATATTAATCATTGAAATAGGAAGAAATTACTATGTTGCGTAAATTACCATGCATTGCGCAGACATAACTGGTCGGTTAAAAAACCTATTTTTGCGGAATGAAAGGTAAAACAGCAGGCGGATCACCTGATGGTAAGCGCTCAGCGCCGCCCAGGGACACCTGCAGCACCAGAAGGGTCACAGGCGCGTTGCCGGTCTTTTAAGAAGCAGTAGGCTCGCCATTTTAAGCACCTATGTTGTGTATAATATGTTTTAAGTGTGGGAGAGCCATGCTTCGGCACGAATGGGTCGGCTCGACCGGAGTGATACCACGGCCTCGCAGAAAACCGGCGTGAAACAACCACAGCGTTGTGTTTCGCCGTGTGAGTGAGGTTACCGGAGGCCCAATCTTTCCCCACCCCCAATCCCTCCTCAATCCTTAATTCTCCAAATCCCTAATCCCTAAAAGGTCGGCAACGCACTCGTAACTCCTCCGTTGCGGGTGTCCATGGGCGGCGCTGATTACTTACCATCAGGTAATCCGTCTGCTCATTTGCCGATCTATTAAATAAAAAAAAATAGAGCGCAACGATGTACCGCAGGCTAGCTTGAAGCAGGAGAAGGGATGGTTTTTATTCAGTAAGAGTCTGACTCTCACTCCATCCAGGGCGAGAGGAGTCATTTAAAGTTTTATCCCGCTCAAACAAAACTAAAGCTTAACCTTCTATCTTACAGTGGCTTTTACAACCACAAGACCTTTATTTGTGTGGCAGTATTTTACAATAACCACTACAATTACTATGTTAGAGTCCACTCAGCCATTTTCGTTTGTATCTGAAAATGGGACCCTTCGTTCCCATATACGTAAGTAACACCAAAATGTATTTATATTTATTTATATTATCCAAGAAAATGGGAAAACATGTCAATGTTTTTCGTCGCCTTAACAACTACTGTTATGCGTTTTACTACTACTGTATACAAATTGTACACTGCAAATGAAACTATACACGAATTCCTTTTCAAAGATTTTCAGTCTTATACTCCAAAGATAAGGTTGAAACTTCATTACAGGAAGGAGACGTGTAGGTTACGTTGACAAGCTGCTGTCTACACAAATAAAATAAAACATTATTAGGTAACTTTCTGTGTTTTTCGGGTGAATACCCTCTAGGGATTGACCTCTTATCCTCCTGTTGCCCTCTTAGTGAGGTATAATTACTCAAGCTACTTTATGTTGAAATATTACGTTTTTGTGTTAAAACGTTGAGGACTGATGAAAATTATGGCTGCACAGTGAAATATTCATAATTTTTAACAAAAATGGCTAGTCTTTTAATTTTAGAATGATTTACTCGAAATTTTCAGGTAGGTTTAAAACAAGAATTGGCCTCTTGAACGTTTAGTGAAATATAATTTAAAACAAACGATACTTTCGCTATCCACCAACACAGAATAACAATACAGTTCTCTGTTTCTCATCAAATAAAAAAACCTTTGTGCGAAAGTGAATCTTCATATACCCGTTGAAGATTCATTTTCGCACCAAAACACTGACACGTCGGCAAAAAATCCAGCAGCCTGCTCTTTGTTCGCACGGGTTCCAATTACTTCGCTAACGACGAAAGGGTTGCTTTTTCTCTATTTTCCTAAAATCATCACAAGAACCTTCTTTTGACAATTGGCAATTACAAACACAACAAAAAGTGAATTAACAAAATTGGTCCAGATGTCGTTCAGTTACACGCTGACTAACACAAGACGCAATTCATTTTTATATATTAAAATAAAACCGGGGCTCACACTAGGATTTTCTCCTGTGTCGTGGGTGCGAACGCAAATATACAATTTCACAGACACAGTTGGTGCGGTGGTTGGGCAACTGGCTGCCGTGCAACGTGTCGCGGGTTCGATTCCCGCACGAAATAACTATTTGTGTGATCCACAAATTGTTGTCCCGGGTCTGAGTGTGATGTGTATGTAAAATTGTATGTTTGTAACCGCACCCGCGACACAGTAGAAAATCCGAGTGTGGGGCAAAGTTTGTAAAAAAAAGACTAGGAACACACCTTCCTTTTCGGGTGGGAATTGAGCCACCACGTTAACTGTGCGATCAAAACATATACATAGATTATACAATTTTTTGGTTGAAATGTTAAGAAATTATTCATAAAATTCTCCAAAAGGAACACATCTGACAACGTTTAACTTTACAATATACATACCCCTTTAAAGAACAAAAAGTTTTAACACGCTATACTTACAAAAATATAGGACACGAAAAAAGACTTTATATTTTTCCAACCAAATACGTGTCTACATAAAAATAACGACCATGGTTTCTTTAAGTCCAAGATTCAAGGATAATCCAGTACATGTTTATCGACCACTTTAAGTAAATTATTAATTAGCCGAGCCACTGTTAAGCCACACGTGGTTATTCTCACACTTTCTTCTTCTGTATTATATAATTGTTTAATATATCTATTACTAGCTACTCACGCGCGGTTTCACCCGCTGCTCAGCTCCATTTGATTGTCGCGTGATGTTTTATAGCCTAAAGCACTCAAGAACATTGTAGCTATCTACCAGTGAAAGAATTTTGGCAATCCGACCAGCGGTTCCAAAGATTACCCCCTACATACAAACTTACAAATTTTACCTCTTTATAATATTAGTATAGATTTAAGACTTTATAGAATTGTAAGACTGTGTAGGTAGTGATTTCAATAATAACTTAGAACTACAAACATGTAATTATTTTGGTAGGTTTAACATCATTTGTTTATTAAGCGTGTGTTATTATATGATAATGGGAAAAGGAGCAAAGGTCGACAATCAAGACGACGGGAAGACGACTTAAAAGGAACTGTGGGACCACTGTGGATGAGAGTTGCGAGGGATAGAGATACGTGGAAACTATTAGAGGAGGCCTATGTCGAAAGACAAACTGAGAATAAAAATAACAGATAAAAATTATGATAATTAAGAATTAATTGGTACTGAGAAATAAAGGCTTATTTTATTTTATTTTATTTATTTTTATTATATAATAATATGTATATCGCATCTATGTATCGCAGGACCGCAGGAAGAAACTCCAAAGAAATATCAGTACCTGTGGTGGTTTTTTCTAACATAGGGTTTTCTGCTATTTCTTAATTGTGTCTTTGTTAAAAGGAAAAAATTACTTCTCTCTCTATGGGTCGAGTGGTAGTCACTCTTACTGACTAAAAACTGCTCCGAGTCGGGTTCCGGATTCGGATTTATTTCGTTGTGACATCCAGTTCACAGGTTCATGACCCTGGAATGCGCTGGACTTCAGATGTTATCATGGATGTGTTTACTGTAGGTCATAGCTTACAGGAATAGCATCAGTTTTGGGAGGTAGCGTAGGGCTTGTCCCATTTAAAAAAGAAAATTAAACTAACTAGACCTATAATCAAGCTAATCAATTAATGAACTCGTAACCTTAATTACAACTTTAATTACTAACTTCAATTTAATTACTAAATACTAGACTAGTACTAGTTTCATAATAAATTACACAATACTGTACCTACAATACAATTAGGCTGAATTTGGGTTGCCCTTCAAACTAAGTGTGTACTCAAAACTGACCTGTAAATACATGTAATCATGTGGCGTGTGTAATAAAGAACAGAACTACCTCTTTAAAGAGGGTGTTTCCAAATTGAACCTTATTATCAAAACATAATCTTAAGATTCAAATACTTTCTTTTTTTGCTTAGGCCTCTTTTCTATTAAGCATAATATGATGTATATATAATGTACGGATGAAACTTTAAACTTTTTAATTGTTTTTATTAATATATAGCATTTATAATCGAAATGAATTTATTTTGGACATTATTATTTTGAAATATATATTTTACTGATCAAAAACCACATCGTTCCTTCTATTAGACGACATCACGGTACCTTATTCAGACTTAAGACCTGGCTTAAAGTGCCTTGAAAAGCAAATTGGATGATCATCCCACGTCAAAAAAACATCAAATAAAATAGTTAGACGATACGACGATAGCCCCTAAGTAAGATAATATGTTATATGCTATAAGTTATGATATTATATTATCATTACTTATGGATATTGGTTTCGAATCGGTAGGATATGTATGAACATGAAAAGATAATAGTTATAAAAATAGAATATTTATGATTTGGATAGAAAAATAATCAACAAAAAAAAACCTTACTCGAGTAGGGAGAGCCATGCTTCGTCACGAATGGGTCAGCTTCACCGGAATATTACCAGACCTTACAGAAAACCAACGTGACAAAACTACAGCGTTGTGTGTCGCCGTGTGAGTGAAGTTACCGGAGGGCCAATCCTTATTCCCCTTCCCTATATATGAATCCCCAAAAGGCCGGTAACGTACTCTTATCTCCTCAGGTGTTACGGGCGTGCATGGGCAGCGCTAATAACTTACCATCAGGTAATACTTCTCGTTTTTAGTTTTCTATACTAATATTATAAAGAGGTAAAGTTTGTAAGTTTGTATGTAGGGAGTAATCTTTGGAACCGCTGGTCGGATTGCCAAAATTCTTTCACCGATTGATAGCTACAACGTTCCTGAGTGCTGTAGGCTAAAAAACATCACGCTACGATCAAATGGAACTGAGCAACGGGTGAAACCGCGCGAGAGTAGCTAGTATGAAATAAAAAAATAGTAGTAAGCCTATGGAGGCCATGAGTCAGCTAACAGCCAACGAATCAAAGTGGTGTATATAGGAAGAAACAATCATTACTATTTAATAGAGCAATCATTTCATATTGCCGCCATATTAAAATATTCACTAAACAACTGTTCAGTATCGGTTCTTGTAATATTTAACTGTTAGGTTTCATTCAATTTACTTTTCATGGAATTTTCTGTCGATTCATAAGTTGCAAGATTTATTATTTCCATTTACTGCCTCTATTTATACATACATAGTATTTTACAGTCGCATAATATAATATAAATGTTACCGTAAATAAATATTAATTTGTAGGTGTAGTATTTTTCCAATGATTCAGTTTACTAACCTTTAAGGAAAATAGCTGGATATTTTGCGCAATTAATACTACCTGCACGTAGATTCTATAAAATTTGTTTGATTGTGAATCTTGTTCGAGTGTGCAGTGAGCGTCAAAGTGACGGGGAAATTACATTTTAGAATGCTACTTTTAATGTCATCCCATACATTTATTTATCAAAATGTTGCGGTGAATTTAGTTCAACTCGCAAGTGTAGCGCTAGTGTACTACTACTCACAGCTGATTCAGATTTGAAGTTTAGAATGAAGTCTTACAGAATCATACTGATGTACGGCAAAAGTAATAAAGTAAATCATCGAATGACTTTTCTTGCCCA